CACACCAACCACTCCGATTAGGAACGTACTGCCTTTGAACATAAATTGTCCAATTTCTTACACGTATTGATTTCGTATCGAGCCCAAAACTTGGGCAACATCATAATATGGTGGCAGGTGTCGTTTGGTTAAGTTTGAGTGAGATCCGATCTCTAGAACTACCCAAAACACCAACCACTCCAACTAGGAACGAACTGCCTTTGAACGCAAATTGTCCAATTTCTTAAACCTATTGATTTCGGATCAAGCCCAAAACTTGGGCAACAACATAATATGGTGGGAGGAGTCTTTTGGTTAAGTTTGAGTGAAATCCGATCTCTAGAACTACCCAAAACACTAACCACTCCAATTAGGAACGAACTGCCTTTGAACGCAAATTGTCCAATTTCTTAAACCTATTGATTTCGGATCAAGCCCAAAACTTGGGCAACAACATAATATGGTGGGAGGAGTCTTTTGGTTAAGTTTGAGTGAAATCCGATCTCTAGAACTACCCAAAACACTAACCACTCCAATTAGGAACGAACTGCCTTTGAACGCAAATTGTCCAATTTCTTAAACCTATTGATTTCGGATCAAGCCCAAAACTTGGGCAACAACATAATATGGTGGGAGGAGTCTTTTGGTTAAGTTTGAGTGAAATCCGATCTCTAGAACTACCCAAAACACTAACCACTCCAATTAGGAACGAACTGCCTTTGAACGCAAATTGTCCAATTTCTTAAACCTATTGATTTCGGATCAAGCCCAAAACTTGGGCAACAACATAATATGGTGGGAGGAGTCTTTTGGTTAAGTTTGAGTGAAATCCGATCTCTAGAACTACCCAAAACACTAACCACTCCAATTAGGAACGAACTGCCTTTGAACGCAAATTGTCCAATTTCTTAAACCTATTGATTTCGGATCAAGCCCAAAACTTGGGCAACAACATAATATGGTGGGAGGAGTCTTTTGGTTAAGTTTGAGTGAAATCCGATCTCTAGAACTACCCAAAACACTAACCACTCCAATTAGGAACGAACTGCCTTTGAACGCAAATTGTCCAATTTCTTAAACCTATTGATTTCGGATCAAGCCCAAAACTTGGGCAACAACATAATATGGTGGGAGGAGTCTTTTGGTTAAGTTTGAGTGAAATCCGATCTCTAGAACTACCCAAAACACTAACCACTCCAATTAGGAACGAACTGCCTTTGAACGCAAATTGTCCAATTTCTTAAACCTATTGATTTCGGATCAAGCCCAAAACTTGGGCAACATCATAATATGGTGGGCGGGGTAATTTGGTTAGTTTTAAGTGAAATCTGATCTCTAGAACCATGGAATACATCAACCACTCCAATTAGGAACGAACTGCCTTTGAACATAAATTGTCCAATTTTTTTCACCTATTGATTTCGGATCGACCCCAAAACTTGGGCAACATCATTATATGGTGGGAGGAGTCATTTGGTTAAGTTTGAGCGTAATCCGATCTCTAGAACTACCCAAAACACAACCACTCCAATCAGGAACGAACTGCCTTTTAACTTGAATTGTCCAATTTCTTACAACTATTGATTTCGGAACTATGGAATACACCAACCACTCCGATTAGGAACGAACTGCCTTTGAACATGAATTGTCCAATTTCTTACACCTATTGA